AGAGATCACGGTGATTACTGCTGTTTTAAGCTACTAGGCCTTGAAGTGATTTGTCATGCAAAATAGACACATAATATGGGGGTAGGGGGATAGCTTCTTTTGTTAGATGGGAGCAGGGATTTTTTGCAGATTTTAAGTGTAAAGAGAAAATGTTGGAGTGAGGCAGATTATATTGGACAATTATTATTCTGTCACCCAGGAATGAATCCTTGAACTTTATTAGACTTCTCACTTTAAAAAGCTAAATTGAAATATTTTCCCAGCCTCCTGTGAAATTATGGAAGCCACTGAAATAGTTTTTTGATGTCCCAATTAGGCTAAGATGAGCTGCAGTCTCTAGAATTCTTTCTAGAGTGTTCCTGCATAAGATGTCCTATAAGGGAGAATCTCTCAGAACTGAAGGGCAGAAAGGAAGTGACAGCCAATTTGTAGCATATTGACACCATTTCCAAGTTATCCATTCAAACACTAGTTGAGATACTGTTGGAAAACGTTTTTCAGGTATAATTAAGGTCTCAAATCAGTTGATTATGAGTTTATCAGAAGGGAGGTTATGCAGGATGAGCCCGACTTAATCAGGTGGAAGTTCTTTAAGGAAGTACTGGAACCTCCTTGAGGTTGAGACTCCAAGCAGCAGAAGTGAACAGAAACCTGTAAAATATTTCTACATTTAGAACTTCAGCACTTGCTTTTTTGCTGATCTGCTGATTCACCTCATTGACATAAAGCAGCAGCTGTGTCCACAACTTCTCTCCCTACCCTCTGGATCCACTTTAGTTTTCATAACTCCCAGGCCAGCTGTGTACATTCAGTTTCATGACAAATGTTCCTGGCTTCTTCAGGACACCTTGGTCACCATGATCAGCAGCAACAAGGACAGACATGGTCCAGGCCATCCTTGTGGGGTTCTAGCTCATGCTTGTAGGGTTCCAGTCTACTCATGATCTTCCCATCCTAATTGCCAGACTTTTGGGTTCAGCTTCAAATATTAGACAGCCATGCAGAGAAAGACTAATCAGCCAGCCCCAACACTTGTGTAAGATAATTTCCAGCAATAAATCCTAGTGGTTCTGCTTCTTTGGTTCAACTCTGACTGATAAGCACACGTCGTAAGATCTCCATTGCATTATGTATCGCTGTATAAAAATTACCCCCAAACCTGAGCAGCTTAAAATAAGTTTTTATCATCCCACCATTCCTATGGGTCAGGAATCTGGCACAACCTAGCTACATGCCACTGGTTCAAGTTCTCTTATGGCTGAAATCAAAGAATTAGCCAGTTGCAGTCTTCTCAAGGCTTAAGTTGGGGTCCCTGAAGTTGGCTGTTGATTTAAAGCCCATGCACTTGGCTGTTGGCAAGCTTCAGGTATTCATTGGCTGTTGTCCAGGAACAAGTTTCTTGCCACATGGTCCTCTCCATGGGGCAGCTCATAATATGGCAGCTGGCTTCCATCACAGCAAGGAAACAAAGAGCAAGAAAGGGCACCCTATTAGCTTGCAAGGGCTACCATAACAAAATACCATAGACTTGGTGGCTGAAAAAACAGTAACTGATTTTCTCATAATTCTGGAAATTAGAAGTCCAAGATCAAGGTGTCAGTAAGCTTGTTTTCTTCAGAGGCCTCTCTCCTTGGCTTGTAAATGGCCCCTTCTCATTGTGTCCTCACATGATTGAGACTTTTTGTGTTGTCTTTTGTCCTAATCTCCTCTTCTTACAGTAACACCTCTCATGTCAGATTAGGGCCCACCCTAATGACACCATTTTAACTTAATTACCTCTAAAAAGCCTTGTCTCTTAAGTCACAGTCTAAAGAATTGGGAATTAGGGCTTTGACATGTGAATATGAAGGTCATAACTCAGCTGTTAATAAGCAAATACAGGTATGATGTAATATAACACCCCTTCATGTTTGCTGTATTTTGTTCACTGGAAGTTAAGTTACTAAGCCCAGTTCATAATCATGATTACATATTATATGAGGGCATGAAACCAGGGGACAGAATCATCAGAAGCCAATTTAAGGCTATCACACTGACTTGGGGGGGGGGGGGAATGAGACACTCACTTTCCCAGGCACCCTTAAAATCATATGTGGGAATATGGCCTCCAGTCTACTAAATAGAACCCCATAGGCAAAGAAACATGCACCACACAGAATCCAGTCTATCAAAGAAGTGCCACCGTATTGGTGGTATCATTATCAACTGTCTATACTGTCTGCAGCACAGCTTGTTGGTTCTCTCTGCAATGGGGCATCAATGTAAACTTCACTCAATCAAACTGCAGTGATTTGTGGTATTGTGGATGATTTTAGAGCCTCCTGACCTCATTCTGTGGCCAGACTTTAGATTCTCCAAATTATTCAATCTTCTTTAATGTGTTATCTAAATAGACAGAGTTGTTTTGTTTCTTTACGTAAGAACTCCAAGTTAAGATAATATCATATTTACAACGTTTACACCCTCTGGCCATGGTTAGACCAATGTCCTTTGTCGTGGTATATGTGTATAAACACATATGGTTGCCTGAGCTCATTTCTTCATAGGTTTTCACTCGGTCCAGTACCCCCATCCCTGTGTCCAGCATGCCACCTGCAATTGCCAACCAAGTTGGGAGACTGTTTTGATGAGTTGGGCCATTTCTGCCATGGGGATCTGGAACTTTGCACAACAGCACTGAGTAACAGTTCCTGCTATAGTGTCCACAAGACTCCTTTGTTACCAACCCTGTCAATCACTACTGCTCTCCCCAAAGCACTATTATCTATTTGTACTGCCTGCCTGCACCAGTACTACTCTCAGCCTATCAAAAGGTTCTCAAAAGCTTACCGGTGTATACCTGGTCTGTGCCAGCCATGCTGTTTAGTCATATGTATACATGTCCTGTTTTAAAACTATAAAGTCTTAAAAATAAAATGTGTATCTTACATTTCAAAAAAAATCCCATTTTAGACATGGTTTCCACTTTAGTTTTATTTTGTTTTGAACTCGTGTTTCATCTCTTAGTAAAGATCTATTCCTTTTAGTTTTATTAGTTTAGCTTTTTTTCAGATACAACTGTGCTAGCCTTGAAGTTATTGTAACCATCTATTCCTCTAAATTTTGTATCTATTAAATAGAGACAAATAATAAATACTTTGAGGGGGGATTATTTTGAGACTTTATTGAGAAAATGTTTTTCCCTAAATAAATGCCTTATACATAATATAAGCCCCAAAAAAAGGTTGCCAGCTACTACTATTAACATATTACATAAGGAGGAGTAATAATACCGTCTGTTTCTTCTAATGCTGCCTGTTTATTATTGAGGAAAAAATAATTTAACTCCTGCTTGTTCTATGGAAACCTAAAAGAAAAAGTCAGTTTCTGTAATCAAGCTATATTTGATTTGTTTTTAAAAATCTGATGTTTTTCAAAGAAGCGAGCAAAATAGAACCAGAGACATGGAAATAAAAAACAAACTGACCAAAACCAAAGGGGAGGGACGAGGGAGATAACAGAGGAAAGAGGGGGGAGGGTCAAGTCAAAGAACATGTATATAAACGACCCATAGACAATGACAATGGAGAGGGGGGATTTGAATGTGGGAGGTAGGGAGTGCGCAGGGCAGGGGAGAGTAATGGGGGAAACCTGGGGACAACTGTAATTGAACAAAAATAAAAAAAGAAATAACAGTACAGAACCTGTAACACAGCAGTTCATTTTCGCTGTCATCTAAAGATTACACTTAAAACTAAAACTGTCTCTATCTTTCACTGTCTAATAACATTCTAATGGGTAGAAATAACCAGAATTTTTCTTCCAATGGGTTCTCAATCCTATATTCCACCATGAAACTAGGCCTAAATAAAAGGTTTTACACAAAAATAAAAAAATACAAATAAAAATCTGATCGTTTTGATCATTTTATTAGGTCATATATATGCATGCCATAAAAATATTCAATACTGCATGAAGGATGTGTACATTAACAAAGTACAACAGATATCAAAAGTTTAATTAAGTAAATATATTCAATGTTATTTTTGTTTTGCCATATAAACTAGCTTTTAAATATTTCCTGATAGAATGGCCCACAGAGTGGCCTTGATTTGAATCTTTACATCACATCTTCCATTCTTATTTTTCTCAACAGTATTACTATACCATCCATGTAACTTTAAAGACAGCCTCCCCTTTCAACATTCTTTAGGTCAAAGTAAGGGAAGCATTTGTGCTTCTTTATAACCACAAATGAAGTTTTAAAGGAATACTTCATTAACTCTCTACAGAGGAAAATCTGAAAAATAAAAGCCAATTAGCACATTAAGAACACAACCTACATGTTATAGGTTTCAGATCTTACTATATATAGGAAGTTCACCTCTAGTGGAAGGAAAGAAAAAAGGAAGTACTATATCAAGGAAGGAAGAATTGAAATTAATATTGTTGGATTCTATAAACAAAAATATTTTGAAGCTGAGAAATTTTGCCTATTGGTCCTCAGTCAGTTCCCCCACTCACCCCAGGATTACCCTACTTTTAAAGTTTGCCTCATTTATGAGCGAAGTTTTCTGTAAATAACAAATGATGAGCACAGCTAATGGACATTACTTAAAGAATAATAATTTGTGGTATTTTCAGGTGGCATTTAGCACATTAAAAACTGCATTGATTTTAAAACATTGCAAAATTATAAATACGTTGTAAATTGTAATTGCAAATACGTATATATTTATTTCTAGGCATATATGAAAAACTCAATTCCAGGATATGTTTTAGAATACAAGAAGGTCCACTGAGAGAACATAAGAATTTATTTTTTTAACTCCCAAACATTAACATACTTATATTCTTGTATTTCCCCTTTTAAGCTTACTATCGTTTTAAAGTGAAAATTATATCTGTATGACTGTCCGTAAGCGTTATGTGAAATAACGTGTATGGCATATATATAAATAACTGTCTTACTCTACCACGTTAAACTCTAAATGCTATTTATCATTAAGAGCTGCAGACAGGAAGGGGCGGAGCCGCAAGAGAGGAAGCGGCCGCAGACCGAGGCGCCCTTCGCCGGCCTGGCCGCTGGTCGGGGTCTGCGGGGCCTTCGGTGACCCTCGGCACCAAGCAGCGACACCGGGGCCATGGCCATGGACATCGCGGCAGCTCCGTCTTCCCTGGCCCTCGGGGTCTCGAGCCCGGCCGCGGTCCCCACCTCCTACGGGGTATTCTGCAAGGGGCTCTCCCGCACCCTGCTCGCCTTCTTCGAGCTGGCCTGGCAGCTGCGTACGAATTTCCCGTACTTCTACGTCGCGGGCTCGGTGATCCTCAACATCCGCTTGCAGGTACATTTTTAGCGCCCCGGTTACGCTAACGGTCCGTGGGCCAGCGCAATGGCGGACTCCCAGGAGGCCCGGCGGCGGCGGAGCAGAGCGGAGTTGCGCCTGACGGCCTCTTCAGTCTCGCGAGAGTCTCCCTTTGTCGTTGCACTTGCCCCTCTTAGCCAAGCTCCCCAGGCGGTCGTAGAAATCCTGCTGTGAGAGAGAGGAGTTACGGGATTTTCCACGGACAGTGAAGAATTTAATGAAGGCCCACAACCGTATTTAAGAAGCTGTGCATCCTTAAAATTAAGACGAACGGGATGTGTTATAAAAAAGGAAGGCTACTAAATTTTTCAGGAAAAAAATGTAAAATATGAGTTAACGGTTCAAACTAAAGTATCCTGAATTTCTGGAATACTGGATTGGATTGTAAGCAAGATATTGAATAAGAAGCTAAAGATCTTAAGGATATGATGTGGAAGTCATATATTTCTTCATCCCACAAGAGAAAACTGACAATCAGAAATTTTCATTGGAAAAAAAAACCTACTGGAAAAGCATCCTTCTAATGCCAAACCATGTAAAATGCTGCGGGGTTTTGAACAGAGGGTTGGCGTATAAGAAAGTGGACTCTATTTCAGTGTTCCTGTGAGTAGCATGGTTCAAGACCTTTGTGCCAAAGCGAAGAAAATCCAGTTACAGTACAAAGCCTGGCTATTTAATGAATAACATTTCAATAATCATAATTTATATAAATGTTGTTTATGGTCTTTTTCTTTTAAAAGAATAATTATGGTTACAAAGTGGAATGCAAATGTCAGCGTTGATAATGTAAAAGTACAGTTTCGAAGTGGGAATGTTGAAGGGAGGAGGGGACAGTAAATGAAATGGGAGTGGTGGCCTTATAAAGTGGGAAATTGAAAGCTACAGTTTTATTGATGAGGAAACATGGTCGTTTATTAGAGAGTAGCCGTAAAGTTGCTAAAACAGCAATGTAACTATATTAATCAGGGAGGAGAGTGGAAGAGAACAGCAGGAGGTCGGTAAGAAATGCCCAAAGATGGAGAGTCAGGTGGAGTCTCAAAAAGAAAAACAGAATATGTTGTGTTTGAATATAGAGTCAAGAAATTTTTTGTGTTTCAGGGTGTCTGGATAGTGGTCTGCACATTTTTAAAACATAAGAAAACAAAGCTGAGGCACATATGAACCCCAGGAAAAACAAAAAATTGTTAAAGAACTACACTGCATACCTCAACTGTGAATACTAGTAGTCATAAAGTCAGTCATAATTATATGAACACCAAATACAGATAGAACAAATGATTATGTAACGTGGGGTGCTGGAGAGGAGAGGTGTGTGTAATGGGGGAGAATCAGTCAAAAAAGCAGTATTGAACATGGTATTTTTTTTACAAAACGCAGTAAGAAACAGCTAAGAGTTAAAAGTGGTTGGAGAAAAAAAAGGATGGGTAGAGAAAACGTAGAGGTTTGCTGTTTTCCACAGTCTAACAGTATTATTTTGATTTTTCTTAACTATAGTTTTTTGATTAAAAATGAAATAAATTTCATTTTTAAAATTGGTCAGGTAATTGAAATGTGAACCTTGGGCTAAGAGATCCAGGGTGAAAGGATTGGGTTTTTAAATTAGCAGACCTCTGTTAAAATGCAAACTCTAATTTTGTGATTTTAGGTGAGTCCATTAATCTGCCTCAGCCCCAGCTTCCTCAACTATTAAATAAGGGTAAAGTACCCCCCTGGGCCAGTCAGTCTGAGAATTAAAAATAAGCCTGCTTTAGTGCTTGATATCTGCACAATAAACAGTATTTGTTACAACAGTATCTCAACATACAAATAAAGCTTAAAACTCACTTATGGAATGCCTGCTTTTCCAGTGGAGATTTTTCAGTCCTAAAGAGGATATGTGGTGTATTAACCCTAGGGGTGTGAGGAAGAGCCTCCAAGGAGATTTTGGTGAGACCTTTGAGCTGAAAGGGGCTATTATCTAGCAAGGTAAAAATTTAAACTTACTTGCAGCGTTCTATATTTTTACTAATTATCTGCAACAAACAGTCATTCTCTAGGGTTATAAAATAAGCGTTCCACCCAACACCATGTCTGGATTTTGGTAATTGTTCTTCCTGCCCTTTGCTCTTCATCCCCAGCCACACTATGGAGCACATCCTTCTCTTTCTACTTAAACTTTTTTCGGTCTTCCCTTCCCCCTCCATGGTTACTCTGCCTGTGTTTTAAGACTCAGTTCAGATGTCACTCTCCTCAAGTTTTTCCCAGATACCTATGACCAGATTAGCGTTCATTTCTTTTACTCTAAGGGTTGTGTCAATATCAACCTATGCCATTTTCATAGGCCGCCTTAATTTTTTTTAAGATTTTATTTATTTATTTTTAGAGAGGGGAAAGGAGGGAGAAAAAGGGAGAGAAACATCGATGTGTGGTTGCATCTCACACATCCCCTACTGGGGTCCTGGCCAGCAACCCAGGCATGTGCCCCACACTGGGAATCAAACCGGTGACCCTTTGGTTTGCAGGCCAACATTTAATCCACTGAGCCACACCAACTAGGATGTATTTTTGCCTAATTATTCATTAATTTTCAGATTTTTTTAATATCATGGAAGACATTTCTAGAATCTCTTTCCTTGGTAATTACATATTGCTGTGCTAGAGTGTAGGAACTAAGATATTTTAGTCTAAAATATCACAAATGTAATTTGAGACAGGGAACTTAAAAATGACAGACATCACTATTCTCTAGAGGTACTGATGTCTCAGTTTGTAACATAAAAGAATGTGACTGCCATTAGCCCTGGAATGGTGAGATACAGAGATGGCTCCCCACTTCAACCTTTTTTCTTCAGCTCTGTTTTCTGCTACACTGAAGGAACTAATACTGTATTTTACAGCCTGGAGTATCAGCAAACATAGTAGGAACTGAATGAAAGCTCCTTGATTTAACATTTATTCTTCACAATTGTTCTTAAACCTAGATGTGCATTTTTCTTCCCATATGATACAACTCAATGATGTTTCCCGGGGAGAAAGCAATATTTTTGCCCTGACTAAACCAATTCTAATTTACAAATAATTTTATTCCTCTTGGCCTCCTTTCAGGTAACATCTGTGAAGCCAAAGATTTTGTTTGTTCATCACTCTCTCCCCTAGAACATTGCCAAATGCAAAATACATAATAAATCTTGTTGAATGAATGCCAAATTAGTTGGTTTTCTACAAATAGTCATTAGTCAATAAAGGAAATAAAGATATATTGGCCCCTGATATTAAGGTGGCCCACTTAATTGTCCATAAAGTGCGTCTTTTCGGTCCATTATGAATATTGATTGGTCCAGGGACTCTTCAAGCATGACAAAGCAAAAGAGGTGGTGTAATTCTGATCAATAAAGAAAAAAACTTGTTTATGAAGTGTAACTGATAAGAGTGATGGGAAATAGTGACTGGTGGAGTTTAACTATGAAAGGGAAAAAGGGATCATAGTAAGAACTGAAAGGGAACAATAATTTGTTAAAGTTGAGAGTAAGAGCGCATGCAGTTACTTGGCTAAAAGAGCATATCACTATCAGCATTTTTAAATTTATTGAGGTTTTATATCAGGAACTATGAAAAGTTATTTACATTCAAAATCTCCATAATTCTCTTATGTACCCTATAAGGAGGACAGTTTCATCATCATTTTTTCAGAGAAGGAAACTGGGACATAAAGTGGCTAAGTAACTTTCACAAGGTCATAGTGACTGGCCAAACTGCAACTGAATCTCGAGTTTATTCCTCGATTGGGGGTTCAATTTTTTTTAATTTTTTAGTAATCCCACTTTTCTCAAATTTTCAAACAGTAGTACCTAAATAATAGCAGTATCTTAATTATTGAGGGTTTTATGTATTAGAATAAATATTCAATATGATGTGATGTGTAAAGTCAAGTATCTCATACTCTGCTGCCTAAAGTCATTTGGCCTGTTTATGTGGGAGAGGAAGAAGGGATGGAGGGAGACAAGAAAGGACACTTCTGAGGGATGGTAAGGAGTAGAGATCAGGCCATGATGAATATTGAAGCTGTGCCCATCACTGCCCTAGGAGACCTAACTAAATTTTATTACAAAATCTTGTAGTCTTATTTTAGTGGAGGCTTTTCTTGGTGGAGCATCAATAGTACTTGATAGAGTCAAGAAGAAAATGGGACTCACACATGGAGACAGAAAGGAATGGGAATGGAAAGTTGGCACCAGTGACCGACCTTCGGCCATGAGGCTCAGGGTGGCTAAGAATGCGGCCCAACATAAAATCGTAAAACATGAGATTTTTTTTTGTGATTACGTCTCACTGTGTATTTCACGTGTGGCCCAAGACAGCTCTTTTTCTTCCTTTGTGGCTCAGAAGTGCCAAAAGTTTGGACTCCACTGGTTTAGGGATATAGGGGCAAAAGAAGAGAGAGAAAGATTGTAATGCCAGAAACTTTGAACCTGGAAAGTCGTCTGAAGATTCAACTTCCAGGCAATTGAATCAAAAAAAGATCCCATGCCGTAACTATCAGAATCCCCAACATTTGGGTTGGACTGAGTCACAACAATCCACTTCTTGTATTACCGTGAGTGTGGAATTTTCTTGCAATTTTTACAACACTTGATAGCCTATTGCCCAATAAGATTACCACCAGGCCGTGTCATGAATCTTTGCAGTTGAAGTCCCTACCTCCTCACCCCTAATACCCACAAATACAAATCTCAGCAATGCTCTTGGGATAATTGGCCAAAGAACATTGAGTGCCTACAACGAATGAAGAAATTGGAATTCTTAGTAGTTTTAATTGCAGTTCATCTGAGAATATCACTTGTAGTTTCTGTCCAAACTAGGATTCTGGAGCAAACATAGGAAACTCTTGACCATTCTTAATGGTTTTCAAGTACCAAGTATGTAGGTGTCTCCACAGCGAAGTAGTAGAGGGCATCAATGAACAAAAAAAAGGAATGTAGGTAATTCATATATTGAGTGACACAGATTGGGTATACCTTTTTATAGGGACCAAAATGAGAAAAAGTAAACCACAAAACCAAAAGGCAAAAATCACTAATGAAATACTGTACCTAGAATGTCTTGGCTCTGAAATCGTTGGCATAGTAATAGAGATTTTATCCAATGAATAAACAAAAAGATACTTAGTTTTCAAATAGAGCTGTTTTTCAAGAAGCTATTTTAGCTTTTTAATTGATAAAAATAAAACTTTTAAAGCATCCTAAACTGAAGTCAAAAAGGGAATATAATTAATAAAAGCCTTAAAATTCAAAGGTCAGGTTAGCTCTATATAAACAGGAAAAGAAATTATTTTTAAAAGTAACTCATTTAAACATGGGGCTAAGGAATAGAGGTAACAATATACAAGTTAAGATAGTGCCTCTGCTTTCTGAAACTCTTATCTACATTGGTATCCCCCAAAATTGCTAAAATTGAAAATAGCCCATGTGTTACCTGTGATTTTTTTTTTCCAAAAAATGACCACCCCCTTCCAAAAAACATGGTCTTTTTTCTGAATGTATCAAACCAACCACTTGGTGGTTTGTTTTTTGTTTTTTTTTTCTAAATGAAGGTCTATTCTGGGCAATCCAGTGCAACATAGATCTTTGTAGACAGTATTAACCAATATCACAAGTGAGTAGATGGCGTAAGTATAGGTTTTGCAGATGGCCCCCTTGTTTTTGTACTTCAATAAAGGAAGGCCCTGGCTCAGAAGACATGAGGGTTAAGCAAGCAGCAGCTGACAAAATACCTGAATCACATGAGATTCAACATTGTTACATTCTTTGAAATAATGTACTGATCCATGCATATTCCCACCTAAACCTTTTCTGTCAGTAAAGTTCAAGACAACCTGGCCCAAACACTAGAAAATCTTTTCAGGTGAAGTTCTAGGTGTAGGGCAGGGCTCAAGCATAAGCCTCTTTTGACATTAGAAACCGGTTATTTGCAACTCTCCTGTTCTCAGGTGTGGGCAAACTGAAAGGAATAAAATTCATTATTCAAAACTAAAAAGTTTATTTTGGAAGGAGTAATTGGCAAAAAAGCAATGACCATCATTTTTCCAACAATTTGGTCTCAGAGTAGGATATAATTCTTTCCAGATTGCATGGGACTCGCTATGGATGTGAAAGCAGTAGCTTTTCTTGGACTATGGCTGAGGTGTCTAACGCAGGCCCATGGTATGGTAAGAGGAAGCACAGAGCTTAATCTCAAAATTCCAGTTTAATAGGGAGAATGCAATACTTTGGTAGGCACTGACCAGCCTATACCATTTTAATAGTCATTTTCTGTGCTATTATCAAGAATAGGCCTCTGCTTCTTAGAGCTTCATCTGTCCAAAATTATTACGTGAGAAATGAAGACTTACTTCTAATGAGACATTCACTGCAAAATCCCACTCATAAGAAGCAAGAGGGATACATAGTTTAAATCGTTTTTAAAATCTTACTCTTTAAAGAAAATGTAACATTAAAATGTAAATCTTAAAACTATGCTTGCTTCTATTAAGTACAAGGTAATCTTTAATCTTTTTTCTGAAGAGGATACTTTCTAAACCACACTATCCTCAATATGTGAACCTAATTATAGCCAGTATGACTAGAATTTCACCTTTCCTAAACTAAGATAATCACAGTTACAATCATTGGGAAACATCTTTATTTTTTTATTTGTTTTAAAGATTGTATTTATTTATTTTTAGAGAAAGGGGAAGGGACGGAGAAACAGAGAGGGAGAAATATCAATGTGTGGTTGCCTCTCATGTGCCCCTTACTGGAGACCTGGCCCACAACCCAGGAATGTGCCCTGACTGGGAATCGAACCGCTAACCCTTTAATTTGCAGGCCAGCACTCAATACACTGAATCACACCAGCCAGGGCCCCTTTTTTATTTTTTTTCTTTCAGTTTTATAAGATGTAATTAACATACAGCACTGTATAAGTTTAAGGTATACAGCATAATGACTTATCCATAATAAGTTGACATCCAGCATCTCATATGGAAACCAAAAAAACTCTTGCCTTGTGATGGGAACTTTTAGAATCCACTCACTTAGAACCTTTCAAATACACCATAAAGCAGTATTAATTATACTAATCACGCTGTACATTACATCCCCAATACTTATCTTATGACTAGAAGTTTATAGGTTTTGACCACCTTCATCCAATTCCTCTGTTCCCACCCAGGAAATTTCTTACATAGTTTCCAACATAATGAATGCAATCTAAAAATTTAAATCTTTATGTATGATAACATGTTATCATCATCACTGTAGATACATCTGAGCACCCCATGGCATATTTCCATAGAGTAAGAGCACACTTTACAAAGCCCTTAGGGTTTTTATCCTCTTCCCAGCATCGTACTTGACCTAAAACCCTATGAAAATTAACTTATAACCCACATAAGAGTCAACATTTATTGATATTTTCTAGTTTGTTTTTGGTTGCTCCCAGCACTGAAAAATCATGACAATAATAAACTCTAGCAAAGACTTCTCCATTATTGACAGTTTTTAAATATGTTTGCAATTATAATCGTTAAGATAATTATAAACACATTCAAAATTGTAGTATCATTAGCAAGCAGAATTTTACTACCTGCTGGCCTTTATATACCTTTTCAGCTACTTTGATTTCATGTCAATTATTTTATTTTAAAAGTCAACTCAGCACAATATAGACACATAAACATTTCTAAAACTCACACAAATGTGAATTTTCTTGTAAACTTTCTGTTTTTATCCCAGGTGAGTTGGTTATGTTCTCTTCACCAAGTGACACTAGTGTTCATACAATTTTTACACGCACACACACCCTACACACAAACTCGGTGTCCAGGTATGACTCATCCTTGTAGAGTAGACACAAGTATTACTACACACAGTAATTATTATTTAATTTCCTATTATAAATTCAGTAGAATTCTCTCTTATTCTGCAAAGATAGTATCTATTCTAGCTTGGATTCTTAATGATAGTCTGTTTTAAAAGATAAGTCTTATGAAATTTTTAACTTAATATTGTAAAAATATTTCACTTGCTACAGCTTAGAAGGCATTTTTATTTCTAAATAATGTGTTTTCCTCACATGTACATGTAATAAATATTTGTCAGGACATATAAAATTAATACACATTGCATTATATAATTTATATGCGTATTGTCTTATTTTTTTGTTACTAGCAAGTATTATAATGACAATAATGCTTACTTTTTTTTAAATGTTGAGTAGATTGTTAGTTTATAGGCCATTCTAGGGAAAGCTTGATGCTCACTAGTATCTAAAAGAATCCAGTGAGAAAAACAGGAGTTAAAATGAATCTTCAGTGTCTCCTCACTAAATTAATTTTTTTAGAATATAGAAAATTCTGGAAAATCTATGAAGCTGAAGGTTCACCTTTTTCAGGTGGCAATTAAGATGCCACAGTAGTTCCAAAGCAGTTTGTCTCAGCTTGCTATTTCCCAAAATTAGAATAAATGAGTGGCCCGAAGGAAAAATAGTCGATGTGAACGCGATAACCAGATTGGCCTGCTGTTTCTTCACTAAAAGATAACACCAACCTGTTAATATGAAGGAAGAAAAATGAAACGTGAAGAGGAGGAGAAAAGACATCACCATTTTCATGGCCTTTTTATGGGCTTCTGTGCTGAAGTCCCTAGAGCTGGAGTTCATCTGCACATTCCTGGTGTGTCTCCTCAAGGAGAGAAATAAAAGGAACAGTGAAGTCAGAGACAGAAGAAAGGGAATTAAGTACATAAAATTAGAAACAATCAAGCCCTTAACATGCAGAGTTTTACTTACATCTGAAGACCATGTTGAGTTTTTTTCGTGTCTTTTATAGGCATTAAACCACAAATAAGCTAATGAATCTATTGATTCAAGGTTGAGAAACAGAGAAAACAAAGATGCCAGTGGAAGCACAAGTAACACTTTGCTAATTCTCCACCTGAGCCAGGCAAAGCAGGGATGGGAGAAATTGGCTATTCTAAAGAAATAGAAAATGCTTAGAGAGGAGGCAAACCAGGCAGCAAGGTAATGGGATAGTGTCCAAAACATAGCAATACAGTTTGCTAGTTTTTCGATGGAATATAGATGTGGCCATAACACCATTATAAATGAATCAAATACTGTTATCCAAAGAAGAGTGATTCTGGAGAGAGCCAAGCTGGTGAGGATGCAGTCAACTGATGAAAGTTTTTGACCCTTCACCCAGTCAACGCAGTTAACTAGTATAATGAACCCATTCCCCAACATTCCAGTTATTAATTCTCCTCCTATAGCTATCAGAAGAATATTTTCAGTTCCAGATGGCATTTCTTGTAAAAAGAATCCAGAAAGCTAATATTATGTTCTGCTGATTGTTAAGCTGTCAAATGTTATAGAATAATATCCAATTTGATTCTTTTCAGATATTGTCTCACTTATCTTCTGAAAGATTTCCTTTCATTCCAGGCATAGGTCTAAAATAAGAGCACGGAGATCCTATCTCACAGACCTTAGTGAGAAACTTGAACACAACTTTCAATCAGCTGCTGATTTCCAAATTGAACAGTAAAGGTACCCACTCATCACTGGCAATGACAGCTGTTTTCCATTTGTGAGGACCTCTGGAAAAGTCAAATCAGGTATGCAAACATGCAAATACGAGGCAGATTTCTTTATACTGATTTGCACTTTTTCTTTTCAATTGAAACTCAGTACTATTTGGATTCAATTTCTTAATTTTAGTAGATTTACCTAAAAACAGTCTCTATAATAGCACATTATTCATTAATTTCACATAATAAAATCCATATTTTAGATACTATTATACATGAAATAAATGTAATAAAAGGAAGCAACATAAAGGAGCTCACGGAGTAATGTAAAAAGCAACATTAGCTAAAATATTACTACTGAATGTGACAGAAGTTTGACCAAAATGTAGCTGCCATAAAGAGGAGGGTGCTGCAAAAACCTATGGTTAGTAGTTAATTCTAGTTTCATGCAGATAACTACAACTAGCTTGGGTCTGGAAGCTTTTTAGTATTTCTTGAAGAAATACATAAAACGGAAATGATTTTTCAGAATGACATAAAAGCATATGCAAGGGTACAAAAATCGGACCTCTCTTTAAGATTTTACCATGAATTTTTTAGCTTTGTTTCCAATAAATTACTACCTATATGATTCTGAAACGGCTATTGTCAGCTTAGAGAAAGACAATAGTAAGAAAAATATAAGGTTAAAAACAAGCCTAAAACAAGGAGCAAGGGTGAGACTTTCTCCTTTTTATTAATTATGCTTTTGGTAAAATCCTTTGTCCCATAAAGTTAATTTAAAGTAAAATATATTTTAGCTTGGTTTTTTTGTTTTGTTTTGTTTTGTTTGTTGTTTTTTTTTTTTTTTTTTTGCTTCAACAAACAAGTAACTCTAATACAGTGATTTTTCAACTTTGACTGCAAATTGGAATTACCTGGGGAGCTATAAGTATATATACTGTGTGATGCCTAGGAACCACCCACAGGGACTCTCACTTAATTGGTCTGGAATATTTTTGGCACTCATTGAGAGCTCCTTAATCTGTGCTTTACAATGCCTCCTAAACCCAGACAAAAAAGTCTTTCTACCCACAAGCTGCAAATCTGAAGATTCTCCAGGAACAAGACAGGATTTTGCCCGTTGGTCCTCTTAAATGCATTCCTCATTCAGCCTGTTTTGACTCTGGTTGACAAATAATCTTTCGTGTTGGTCTCAGCCTATCGATAGTGATGCTTTCATGCCGGAGGCGCTCATCTGGGCCCATACTACTGGTGGGAATCCCCCACCCAAGCGTTTCTCTGCCAGAGCCCATGGCTGTGTCTGGACTAGCCCTTGTGGTCCTTATGATTGCAAGACCCACCTCAGCAACAACCATCAGGGAATTTAAAGAACAAGATTTATTACTCACAAGTCCTAGAGTGTACACAGCCACACAAGGAAGTCACAGGTAGAGAAAGAGAGAAAGTTCAGACTTAGGGTTCTACCTTTATTGGGATTGAGGGTAGGGTAGCAAGGGTTTCACAGGTTCACTCTTTATTGGTGAATTTAAAACATAGAAGTGGGAATTAGGGCCCAGGAAGGGAAAAGTGGAGTCACTCAAGCAGTCAATTATCTAGGTTATCCAAGACTTTCTAAATGGGGAACTTTGTGGGTTGGAGCAACCTGGCTTCTTATCTAGGTATTTTACTAGTAGCTATGTCATACAATTGGCAATATGTTTGTTCAAGATGGATATCCTTGAAAGGGATACCTCAGCAATTAAAAACTTAATATCAGGGACTTACGCTACATAACCTTGGCAACAACAGAAGCTCCATGAGGGAAGCGTCAATTTTGTTCTTGACCACTGATCTATTTTCAATTCCTTGAACAGTGAGGGCTTGGCACATAGTAGGCCTTCTATAAGTATTTTCTAAAGGAATGAGTGCAAACTTAGTTGGTAATCCTATTGGGAACACAGAAAAAGAGAAGATGAATAAGATGACTAGTGAAACTAATATAAAAAAAGAAAATAAAGTAACTCCTTAAACCTAGAGGAAATTTAACAACATGTGTATGAACCCATGAAAGTTGCTATACTAATACTGAAATAGCCAGCACTGCTCTCTAGGCTTTGTGGTCCTAACCAGAAGTCATACAGAATCATAAATACTTGCAGGTCTATCAAGGTGTGGGATCCTTTGTACTTTTCCTCATGAAAGAGAACTACTTCCAGCCCAGGGAGTTGGTGATGGGTAGAAAACTCTAGATATCATGGCAATGGGTTGAGAAGGCTGTAGAGTTCCCTGATGTTTTTAGGAACACTCTAAAATGGTGGAGAAGGCTACCAGAGGACTCCATTGTTAGGCATGATTTAGCAGTTGACAAAAGCCACAAAGCAACAAGTCAACCAGGAGATGCTTAGTCATTAAAGAATACTTGAGTTCATAGTTCCATTGAAGAAGAAACCCAGTCTAAAGGATATAATTACAAGCATGAAAATCACAAGCATCTTATGCTACGAGAGGAATTCAAAGTCCAGGCTAATAATCACACTTTTAAAAACTTCTGATAATTACATATCTGTCTCAACTCCTGGTTTGAACTACCTCTACATGCTTCATTTTTAAAATTCTTTTTAAATTATATTTTATTGATTATGCTATTACAGTTGTCCCAATTTCCCCCCCCTTGCCTGCCTCCATCCAGCACCCCTCACTCCCGCAGGCAATCCCCCCACCACTGTTCATGTCCATGGGTCCTGTGTATAAGTTCTTTGGCTACTTCACTTCCTATACCGTATTTTACATCCCATGGCTGTTCTGTAACTACCTATTTGTACTCCTTATTCCCTCACCTCTTCACGTATTCCCCAACACCCACCTCCCACCTGGCAACCATCAAGATGCTCTCAGTATCCATGATCCTGTCTCTGTTCTTCATGTTTGCTTAGTTTGGTTTTCCAGTTGTTGAAAGATATGTATTTCTGCCATTTTATTGTTCATAGTGTTGATCTACTTTTTCTTAAATAAGTCCCTTTAACATTTCATATAATAATGGTTGGGTGATGATGAAGTCCTTTAGCTTTCTCTTGTCTGGGAAGCTCTTTATCTGCCTTTCAATTCTAAATGATAGCTTTGCTGGGTAGAGCAATCTTGGCTATACGTCCCTGCTTTTCATGACTGAATATTTCTTGCTAGTCCCTCCTAGCTTGCAAAGTTTCTTTTGAAAAATCAGCTGACAGTGTTATGGGAACTCCCCTGTAGGGAACTAACTTCTTTTCTATTGCTGCCTTTAATATTCTCTATCTTTAACCTTTGACTTTTTAATTACAATGTGTCTTGGAGTGGGCCTCTTTGCATCTATCTTGTTTGAGGCTCTCTGTGCTTCCTGGACTTGACTGTCTATTTCCTTTGCCAAATTAGGGAAGTTTTTCTTTCATTATTTTTTCAAACAGATTTCCAATTTCTTGCTCTTTCTCTTCTGTCACCCCTATAATGCAAATGTCGAAGTGTGGCATCAAAGAGAGCAGAGGCTATTGTCCCTTTTCTAAACCCACCTCCAACAAAGCCAGAAAGCTGGTGCCATATCTGAAACTCCATCAACCTGGCTAACACTGTTTGACCTATTTGGAGATCCCCAGAGACTCTGCCCCACCCAACTTACTGGCCCACCCAAATTGCTTTTCCATATAAATGTCTGGCCTTGGCTCATGCTTCACAACTTCCTAAATCTTCTAAAACAAGCAACAGCTGGCCTCAATGAGCCCCAAGCCTGGCACTAGCAGCCAGCCTAGATTCACAGCTTGGTTTTACAGAGGAATCTCCAAGCCCAGCCCAAGTAGCAGCCATCTCAGACTGCTTTATAGTTCTAGCAGGGTGACCCTGTGCAAAACACAGGTGAGGGCTGACCTTGGCCTGCACCACCTGGGAAACCCCAGGGCTAACACACACAGTGGACAGCTGCAGACCATGTTGGAGCACCACCACCCTGTCCCTGCACAGATGATCCTCCATGGAGGATGGAGATTGGTTGTCAGTTGTCCCAGCCAGTCCTTGCAGCTAACTGGCCTGGGTAAATCTCTCCCACTGACCTCCCAACAGCAACCAAGGCTCAACTACAAGAGGAGAGTGTACTGAGCCCACACCAAGGGTATGCCTCGAGTACCCAGCTTGGGTGATAGAAGAGGCTGTGCCATTAGACCCTACAGGACACCTACTACATTGGGCCGTGTTACCAAGACAAGGAATCAAAGCAGTTCTACCTAATACATAGAAACAAACACAGGGAGGCTACCAAAACAAGGAGACAAAGAAACATGGCCGAAATGAAAGAACGGATCAAAATTCCGGAAAAAGAGCTAAACGAAATGGAGATAAGCAATCTATCAGATGCATAGTTTAAAACACTGGTTATAAGGATGCTCAAGGAACTTAATGAGGACCTCAACAGCATAAAAAAGACCCAGTCGGAAACGAAGGATACACTAATTGAAATAAAGAACAATTTACAGGGAAATAACAGTAGAATGGATGAAGCCGAGAACCAAATTGATGATTTGGAACATAAGGAAGCAAAAAACAACCAATCAGAACAACAAAAAGAAAAAAGAATGCAAAATAATGAGGATAGTATAAACAGCCTCTGGGATAATTCCAAGTGGTCCAACATTTACATGCTTCATTCTTAAAAGGACTGTATTAAATATTTATTATGAAAAAGCATTATTGTACATATAAATATAAGGTAGATTATTATAAAATGTTTGGGCAGATAACAATTAATCAAATTTATGCTATAGTGACAGTCCAAAAAATTGGTCTAAACTTATAATGATGATCATAATTAAAATAAGAAAATTTATGAATATTGAGTTTATAATTATCAGTAGAAAGAATGACATTTCTTCCATAGAATAGTGAGAAAATACATTCAGAAGTCTATTTTGCCTTAACTTAAAAAAAATCCTGACTTATAGAGTGATATTGAGTATATACTTGTTTAGTGATGAACTACTTTATGTGAATGTAAATAAGGTGACTCAACTGAAGATCTTCTGAGCTCCTCTCATTAATACTACCTTTTCTGGCTTGAAGTCTTCCTATTTCCTTCTTGTGTCTATGACATCTCCACTGAAATAACATATATGAGCTTTCTCTTTGACTCTTTCTATCGTCTTTTCCCTCCCCAAGCCCATGTTTATAGAGCTCCCAGGAGTCTCGGAGAAGCAAGCAAACAAATGGTCCCCTAGTTGTGATATGTCTGATCCTATCAATAGCAAGCTTTTCCATTTGCCAGCAAAGAAATTCTCCTGGTTCTCTTTGAATCACAACTTGGGACTTTCATGCAAGACTCCTTTGATAGTCATTAAAGTACTGGCCTTGGTGTTTATTTAGGTAAAAGAGACATTTACTGTTTCTTTGGCTATACCCTCACCCAAGAAACAAATAGCTGAGGCCAGGCAACAGCTTGAAGAGACACAGACTTCATCTTTCACAAATGGAGGATTTTGCCCAGCTTAATCACTGCTATCCATGAACATTCTTTTATGTTTCATTTTAGATTTTTGTTTCATCTAGCATACTCTTTTAATTTTCTCAACTGAGGGCTACTTTTCTCCCCCTCCAAATCCTTAGAGGGCAAACATATCCCTACTGGCTTCTCCTCAGGACAGACCTAAGATAGTGCCAGTCTAACCTACTAACACCAACCCCCACACTGACAAACAGTAGAGTTTCATGTTCAAAATAAGAATCGTTAATCATTTCTTTAATCTTGTAAGGCTGCATTTATATTGATTTTTTTAAAAAGTAAAATTTGAAAAGTCTGTGACATGGGATTTTGTACACAAGGAGACAAAAAAGTTGACCGACATATGTTTCTTAAATTCATCAAACAAACTTTTCAGATCAATCTGTTCTTGTAAAGATTGGTCCTAAGGTCCTGAATAGGACATAGACTACCCTAAACACAAATGCAATGTCTCCAATGATGGGACTGAAAATGACTGTGTGATGATGCAAATGGCCATTAGAGGGTGTTCCTGGCTCAGAGGAGATAGGGTCTAATCAAGATCTTGCAAGGAGAAGCCAGCTACTGATGGAGAGCAAATAAACCACCGGAGATGTTGAGGAAAATGGCATGTCTCTTTCCCAGAGATCAGTGTAGGTATGGGTTTCTATCTGGTATATACACCCATTAGGGTTCAAGAAAATGTGCCTTTGCTGTGCTTGATACATGTCTTATCTGATGTCTTCAGCAATAAACCTAAAGATCAGAGATACAACTATTTCATAAGTAGAAATGAGTTATTTGTTCCTCTCCTATAAATCATCTGGGTAGACAAATTGAAATAAACAATGACTACACACAGATTCTAAAAACGAACATTTATTTGATGAGTGAGAGAGGGTAGTTAACAAGAAATCAGTGATAATATCTGTCTTTTCCCAAATCTTTGGTCTCAGAGCGGGATATAGTCATGTCAGTCTCTCTTCTGCAGGGTGTATGGGACTGGCAATGCATGTGTTGGAAGTGGCTCTTCTTCGATTGTGGCTTGGCCGCTGTTGAGGCCTCTACAAAGGCTCTTCTTACGGAGAAAGTGGAGGTGCAGAACTTAACCTCACCTGCTATTCAAATATGCAGATTGCAATACATCAATTGCAAAAGCCCCAACCTATGGCTTGGTATTCTTTTACTAGTCTGTTACTGTACTTCTCAGTCCAAAATAGGGGCCCTGCTCCTTATAGTCCCATGTCCCTAAGTCTGCAGCATAAGTATGGATTTACTCCTCACATTTACTCTTTTATGCCTAAGGTCCACTTATTAGAAATAAGAGTTGCTCGTAAGTTGGCTCGATTACTTGAACTCACTTGCTAAAGAAAAGTTCAGTAACACTAAAAACTAAATAAGTTATAATCATAAATAGTACAAGATTATCTTCAAGTTATTTACATGAAAGAATACCCAACAAACTCAATGTCTGAATTTAAGTGTATTCAACTTGTTTTGCATATCACCTTTACAAAGGCAATATAATTACAATGATAATCTTTGTTAAAATGCAACGTTGGTGTCCAAAATAATATATGGTATGTTTTATTTGGTAAGATGTGAATTACTTAGTAAAGTAGACATCATATTTCTTATCATTAAAACTATTAGCAATATCATTATTGTTACTGATACACAGGAGCACCATATAGCCTTGACGTGCTTGCTGTTTAATGTATTACATATGGTGCAGGAGGGCAGGGAAAATGTTAATTTTAGCATCAGCCCCAGCTCCAAGGAACAGCCCTAGAGCATTGCTCTTGCTTACGGCTCCATTAGTATTAGCTTACAACCCATGTATTTATTACCATTTAATTGCGGGGGGGGGGGTTTGTTTACTCTAAGACAATTTAAAAAAACACATCAAAGGTAAACCATAAAAAAGATTTCTTCATTTTTAAAGACTTACATTATCTATACATGTATAGCCTCTGTACAATATTATAATCCATACCATCATATCTGAAATTTTATAATACACTTTCCCACCCTTAACTTTATTTACAACATGTAGCTACCTTATATGAATGTAAATTATTGGTAAATAAGCACTGTATTAGGCACTTCCAAAATTTACACTGTAGTGCTCTCTTAGCAATATTGCTCTCAATGCCTTCCCTATTGATCTGTTTCTATTTGTTTCTCAAAAACTCTAGTGATCAGATTATAACAAAATATATGTACACAGATATAAGTATAATCACCCTGAAAGTATAATTATGATCTTTTTATAGTAACAGTATGAATATGATTTTGAATTAAGGAATAATTCTTCTGTATATATTTTAAGTCTATTACATAACAAGGCAGAAATATCCATTTTTGCCACTCAGAAAATGTATATTACATATCCTAGAATTTGCCAAAATTGATAAATGCCTAGATACATCAAAAATATATATGATTGGCAGTTTCAAATTAAGATTAGCATTATAAGCATGTTTCCAATTTCTAATTAAAGATTTTTTTGCACTAAAAATATTATTTTTATCCTTAAACATCTCATTCTCTTGTTTTCAATAAGACCTTTAATAACTAGTATGTAATGCTTTTTCATTCAATAAAAAGACCTTTAAGATATGAGGTCATGATTTTCCCATCTATGACTCTAGTTGCTCAATTAACTTTTTTATCAACATTTTATAGATTTTCTTCATAGTCAATTCTGTAATTAATCTTGATTTCTAAAGAATTGCATGCCTCTTCCCTCACATGAGTTGCAATTATATAGATCTCTTGCAGATAAAATTAAAAAATTGGGTTGACTTCAAAAAATATTTGAGATTTTCAAATACTGGCAACCATGTTTTAAACAAAATTATTATTTTCAAAATTATACTGGCTGGTCATGGGTGCATTATCATCAAAAACAACCAGCTCTATGGAAAAATTCAATTATGCTTAACAATTCTTAAAGGAACCCAGTAGGAAAAAAATACTGTCACGTGAAAATTGATCCTCAAATTCGCCTCATTAAGTCATTATCTTTGTAAAAACTGGAAAGTCTACCTATAAAGCTGTAACAGATTTTTTCTTTTTAAGAAGCTTTCAAGATGCTGCAGTACCTTACGGCTGTCTGTCTTAGCTTGCTGTTTCCCAGAATCAGAAGAAATGAGTGGCCTGAGGGAAAGATATATACTGCTAATAAGACAAATTTTGCAAACTTGCTCTTTGCAAACATAAGAAGTATCCAATTTGCCACTTGTGTGGCAAAAAAATTAATGATGACAAGGAAGAAGAAAGACATCACCATTTTTATGGCCTTTTTATGGACCTCTGTGCTGGAGTCCCTTGAGCCCATGTTGCTGAGCTGCAGATTTCTGATATGTCTTACTAAGGACAGAAATAAAAGAAGCACTGAGGTCAGGGACAGAACCAGTGGAAACAAACAGGTTAAGCTAAGAAGAGTCATGGTTTCAACATAGAGAGTTTTACTTTCATCTATATGTGAAGTAAAATTACTTCCATTCAAGAAGAGATCATTAAAAGTTTCTAGCAACAGAATGTCAAAAATCAGAAAAAACAAAGACAATACAAGAATCACAAGAACCACTTTGTTCATTCTCCACTTAAGCCAGAGGAAAAAGGAGTGGGAGAAGTGAGCTATCTTAAGGAGATAGAAAATGCTTAGGCAGGTAGCAAAACAGTTACTCAAGTGATTAGCAATTCTCCAAAATAAAGTAAGAGCTTTTGCTTGTTTATAAGTGTGACCAAATACTAACATAGGTAGTCCCATTGTGAGTGAGTTAAACAATGATGCCAGCAACTGCATGATTCTGGAGATGGCCAAGCAGGTGAAGATGAAGTCAGCTAAAGAGATGCTTTGGTTCTTGACCCATTCAGAGCAGTTTAACAGTCCAATGAACACATTCCCCAACATTCCAATTATGAATTCCACTATTGACAGTATCAGAAAGATCATATCCAATCCAGTGAGCATTTCCACAAGAAAAAAAATCCAAATTTCTAATACTACATCTCAGTGATAAATTAATAATCAAACTGTTGAAGAATAGCATCCATTTCTGATACTTATCTTGTTGTCGTTTGCAATTCCTGCCTTAAGTAGAACCTCCTGTTGTTCAATGCAGTCTCATATATACTTAAAAAGTCTTCTTTTATTGTAATTCCAATCTTAATCTCAAAAGATCTGCTAAAATATACAGTCTCAAATACTTTTATGAAAATGTTTATATTTCTTTGAAAGAGCTTCTAATTTCCAAACCAGTTTGTGCATCAATTTATCATTGGCATGGATGGAAAATTTTCACTAATAGTAGTGATTGAAAGGTTCAAGTCAAATGTGTTAGCATGCAAATATTGGTCATATTCTTTTGCATTGATTTGTACTTTACTCTTCACCTGAAATACTGTACTATTTAATCCAAATATTTTAGTTGTTTTTCAAAGAAAGCTCTAGAGATAATCTAAGTAATTTAGTTATTATTCATTAAATATATTTTGTGAGTGCCTGCTATGCATTGGAACTTTTCCAGATGCAATATGGATCGTGCAAAAACACACACACGCGCGCGCACGCACAGAAGAGCATTAGGAAGTCTATAAGACAATAAAAACCCAAAAAGAAACAATGAAATAAAGTAATAAAATGTGACCAGAGAACAGGTAACTACAAACATTACAGTTAGGGGAAGGGAGGTGATATTCACCTTGGGTTTTGAGGTACTTAGAATTTCATGAGGAAACTGGCAAGTCATATTTTGGACTGATCAAATAATATGCAAAAAACACACCAAAACCCAAACTACTTTCCTGAAATTAAAGTCTTCTAACTGATACTTTATTGTAATTTCAACTAAATGTCCCTGAGGTATTTGTGGAGTAACATATTCACAATTAAACATATTCCCCAGTTTTGCTCTTTATCTTTGTATCTGTTCTATTTGTTTGAGCTAGCATAATACTGTCACCTTGGTCTTAATTGAAAATAGGTAGAAAATCATTTCAGATAAAATAATGTAGAACAGATGCTTTTGTTTACTATTCAGGAAATAGTAAAGAAAAGCATCTGTTCTACATTCTAGGAACAATGATTTTTGACAAAAACCATTAATGCATCAGACATGAACTCAGAGTTACAAACTTTGTGTTTTGATGTGTCTGCAAAGAAATATTCTATTGTTAGTATTAAGCATTCAAGTGTTGCCAAATCACATCCAAAAACAATGAATGAAGTCATCTAAAAACTTTCTCCTTTTCAATGTTTCTGTCACACTCTTCAATTACATTAATGTTCAAAAGATATTTCAAAAAAATTATGTAAATTAACTATTGGTAAATTATTTTGTATAAAAATATTTTAATTTAGGATAAATAATTGAAATTATATGAAGAAAATAAAAAAGAAAGAGAGACTCTGACCAGTGTGGCTCAGTTTGTTGTCCTATAACCAAAAGGTTGTGGGTTCAATACTGATCAAGGCACATACCTAGGTTTTGGTTAGCTCTTCAATCCCCAGGTGCGTACGCACCCATTATGGTTCCCCATCTGGGCACATAGGGGAGGCAACCAATCAATACTTCTCTCTCTCCCTAAAAGAAATGAAACAAATCTCCTCAGTTGGAGTTGAAAAGGGAGGAAGGAAGGGAAGGAGGAAAGAAGAAATTTTTAGAGCTAGGATGAATGAAATAAAGAAATTTGGTAGGGGGGAAAATGAAGATAACTGTACTTGAACAGCAATTTTCTTAAAAAAAGAAATTTGGTAGTATTTTTGAGAGAAGAATGATCTATTTGACTACATTAATCGAGAGGCAGAAAGAAATTCATAGCTATGAGAAGCAGTTAGGAGGCAGAATCAGTAAGGCTTGATGATGGCTTTGAAGGCTATCAAAAAGCAGAGGGGCCTGCAGTGAAATGAAGCTTCTTTTGCACCTGGATGCATGGAATACTGTGACCTGAGGGACTCACTGGAGAGAGAGCGGGTTTAGGAGCCAAGGGATAGGAGAAAGAAGAACAACTGGATGATGATCAATTCTGTTTTGAACATTTGGGAATATCTATAAATCATCTGAGTGAAAAGATGGATTGGGCACTTGGGTATTTGTTATTATACCTCAGAGGAGGAATCTGAACTGCAAGCAAAGATTTGTTGCTCATCAGCACATAACTTGATTCCACAGATAAGTCTCTAAGGGCCCTGAAGTAAAGGAACCAAAGAAAAGACTAGAAAGCAGACAGATGGAGAAGGAAAATCAAGAGACAAGGGTTTTGAAGCAACCGAGAGCAAGGATTGGTACAAAGAGTAATCAGTACTTCCTGATATTAATAAAAAGACAATTACAAGTAGGTACTAAGGAGGCCCATCATTAACAGCAAAAACAGTTTAACTGAATCAAAGCCAAACTGCTATAGATTACATAGTCAATGAGGTCCCAATGATGATTCATTAGAAAACCAATTAATGTAATAAAAACATTAACAGATTAAAAGAAAAACACCAAGGAAAAAGAAGATTGATACAATTCTACATCTATTCATAAGTGTTTTTACCAAACTGAGAATAGAATGAAATACTCTTTTTTTCCCAATAAAAAGCTGTCTGCAAAAATCTAGAGCAAACATTATGCTAATCTATAATACATTGAAATTATTCCCCTTGGGATTGGGAAAAATAAGCCATAAACTCTTTATGATATCTATTTTTGGATGTTTTCACCAATACAGTAAGGCAAGGAAATGACATAGAAGATACAAGATTGGAAAGTATAAAACAAAGCTGTCATTAGGTATCTAGATCATGGATTTGTTGCAAGCCTAAAAGCAACCACTGCTGATACAATATTGACCATCTCTATCTCCATGAAAAACAGCCCTGTTCCTTACACCTAGTCCAGTAACTTGATTTCTTTTTTTTTTTTACCATAATTACAGGCTCCAATTTTCCATGTAAGGCAACAGATGACGAGATAATCTCTCATTTGCTAATTTGCAAATAGAGACTGATATTCTATCACTCTTTTTGCATTTTCTTTGCCTAACAAATTTGTGTCTGTACCTTTAGTTGTGGAAGATAATCAACGCTAGAATTTGCAGATTGTAAATTTTAGAAGTCAACCTAAATGTACCTTCATCCAAGTATGTGAGAAAGATACTGATCAGAAGCTGGTTCAGTATATGAACAAACTCCAGCATGCCATATCATTAGCACAGTATTTCACCATTTACAAATGTACCTAATTGCACCAATCTAGTTCTTATTCTTTGTTTTGAATCTATATCTGAGGGATTGCTGGAATCAAGGTATAAAACATGTACACTATTCTCTCATCTATTTGTCTAAGAACTGAACCACAAAGGAAATGAATGCAGTTTGCCGGAACTTGCCATTCTTATGTTAGCATAAAGAATGGCCCCACTAATTAGAGCGGTTCTTGTTAAGATTTAGAGTAGTAACTGATATGTATGTTCACTCGTAAAGATACATCTTTTTTTTATTTAATTTTAATTTATTTTTTCAAATATATTTGTCTCTGCCTACCCCCCACCACTTTCCTTGTCCCCTTCCTCCCTCCCTCCCTCAGCTCTTCCCCTTTTTTTAATGTCAGAATGATTTTGGAAGTGAGCCAAAAAATTAGTTGAGAGGAAATCAGTATCTAGTGGGGAAATTATAAACAGTTTTAGTCATGGATTTTATCAAACATAAAAATCATAGTAACAGTAAAACTAATAGGTAGCATTTATAGGACACTTAATGTGTGGGTAAAATGATTTATTTGCATTTGTGCACTATTATCTAAGAACATATGTAAGAATATAGCAAAGCAAATAAAAAACTTTTATTAAGTGAAACATGGATGAATCTCACAAACACACAAAAGTTTGCTTATCCTTTATAGAGAGACAAAACTAACAATGGTGTTAGAAATCAAGATAGTGTTTCTCTTTGAGAAGATGGGTGGCAACATCAAGTGAGCTTTTGCAGTCCTGGCATAGTTGTTTCTCTTTTATAAAACACTTCTAGTATCACTACTTTGAAGGTTTGTTCTGATGATTATTGAGATCAGGTACAGAATGCCTGGCACTGTGCCTCTCACATACTAAGGGCTCAGTCACAGGTCCAAGTCTTGTTTCAAACGCCCTTGTTCTAAATGAATTTGCTGAATAAGTGCTATTGAAGATTTTCTTTTAATCTCCTATACCCAGAGTATAATTTTATACTCTATTTAAACTCACAAAGATTATTTTCAAAATTCTATTTATGGTTGTCAAAATTTGGTTAGGATGACAAAAAAGTAAGAGGACATTAGCTTATACAACTGGAATTTTCTTCTACAGTACCTTGGTTTGCATTGAAAATAGTTGAATTTGAATAATGGGTATCAGTTGGCTTGATTTTCTTAATTAATAAAAATTAACTGTGCGCAGGTTGTATGACTCAGCCAGAAAAATAAATGTTTGATTCATTAAATATGGCTTCTTGAGCAATAGTAATTAGACCTTCTTCCTTATGCCACAAACAAAGGCACCAGGGAAAAGTTGGTTTGGTTTCCATAAACAGAAGCAAATGGAGGTAAAAAGAGCCCTATTCACTGAACGTAACACAGATGATGTTAAAACAATTTCCCTAGAATGAAACTCTGAAATCTACCCTTACTCTTCTGGTTCTCCCAGAGATTAAAAGGCTATGGATCCGAAACACTCATACATGGCCTTCATGGAGCCATTAAAACTATGTCATCTTTAAACTATGTCTATCCCAAAGGGTGACCCTCAGATCTGGGAGTCTCCAAAGATGGAGACGGGATGATTGAGCCATTGTTGCCATTTTTATCTTTTCTGTTTGACCCAAGCACCCACCACATGGGGTTTTTTCAATGTGTATGGTGTTAGGAATGCACAATGTAAACACAGGTTGGAATTATCAAAAGAGACCCTCTGTACATCCCTACGGTTGCTCTATGGGATTTCAACACATATCCA